ATACTATTCTGCACTTTAGAACCACGGTTAGAGGATGACAATACCAATTCTTCTATTTCGACTGTTTTCGGCCCAGACCGTGAGTACAGTCCATCTGTATAGCTCGAACTAGCAATATTTATAGACAATACGGCGACATAACTCTATTAAGATTGTTTCGTCGCCACAATCATCATCATCGTCATCGTCGTCATCATCATCATCATCATCATCGTCATCATCATCATCGTCGTCATCATCATCATCGTCATCATCAGTACATGTTAGCTGAAAGTGAGAAACACGCCACGGCTAATGTGCTGCAATACAAAAAATGATAAGATACTAAAAATAATACTACAAAGATTCAAAAATTAGGTAACAACATTAAATATCATATTCTTGGTTTGCTATGAGAACGTGACTGGAGAGGGAATCTATAAGAGAGGGATACGCAAAGAAACGCACAGCACAAACGCCAGAGGGGCCGGCTCATAGCCAAATCAGCGAGTGTGGACAACCAAATGTGTTCGTCGTCCTTGGGACCCCAGCCCGTTAGTCGGGGTGCACCCGCCGATGTCAACTTCGAAATGAGGGTTTTCATTCCTCTTGGCTTCCCTTCTCTTTCATCCAGACCCTGGGCGCGCAAACAACGCACGTCACAGGAGTCGGTGGGATGGCATGCGGAACACCTGGCCTAGCCATCGGAGCCTGGTGGATGAGATAATAGTGCTGAGCGGATCATTCGTTCTTCCTTCACAAAATACACGATGCCGAACACATTCATTACTCACGCGGTGCTCCCACCAGACATGAGCTAAGCTGTGAAAGCGGTGATCGTCGAACGTAGCTAACCTTTTCATGTCTGTCGACCTGATGAGCCAGGTTTCACAACCGTTGTAAACACTGACCTTCAAGGTGGGAATGACGTTGCGTCGGCACCACAGATGGCGGAGATTGGCAAAAGCACGTTGCGTGGTTTATCGTAGTCCCCTGAGCCGCTGCTTGGACTGGTTGCCGCATGCCTACCTTGTGCGACACATTAGCTGAGGTGTGTTTCTCACACTCAGCTAAAGTGCATGTCATCCGCTGTTCCTGCTAATGGTCGGTTTCGACTTACCTCGAATACAGTGGCCTGAAGCGGAACTTCCCCCCGGCCATGGTGAAGTGGAGTGGAAGTTCGCGGATATGATATTCGAAACTGGGGCCACACAGCACATCAACCAGCCGACGCGCATAAGTGCGCGCGACTCCATAGCGCTTAGACCTGCTTTTGACTAGCATGTGTGCACGATATTCAGGTCTTGCAGCCCCTGGGAGCGACTGACAACTCGATGATCATAGCCAGCCTGGAACTGCCGCTGCCGTACTTTCCTCCGTTGGAACCAGCCCTCAACTACTGGAAGGCGGACTTTAATGACCTAACTCAAGCAGTTAGATGAATTGGTCGTTACCAAAGAATTCATCCGTTGAAGCCTGTGGGACTATCATTAAAGAGGCAGTGAAATCGTTGTGCGCCCGATTTGTTCCCCTCAAGTATCGGAAAGTTGGGCCAGTCAAGCCAACTTGGTTTGACAAGGTGTACAACAAAATGGATCGACGGCGAAGCAGATTGTAGAACAAATTCATGTTGTCTGGCTCTGACGAAGATTACGAGGCGTATAAAATCTCTGCAAAAAAGTGAAAACACAAAAGCGTCAAAACTTCGAGCAGCAGCTTGAAGCCACAACAAAGGCTGTTCCCAAAAGAATCTCATTTATGTGAAGCGGTGCCTGAGGCCTGCAAGCAATGTGCCAGTGTTAGAGGGTTCAGATGGACAGATCATAACCTCGAGCACAGATCGTGCATCCGTACCGGCGGCGCACTTCGCATCCGCATTAGCAAGTGACCAGGTGTCTGTACCGAGTTCGACGGGGACCGCCCCGTTGAACTAGACAGCCTGGATTGCAGCATTGAAGATGTACACAAACTGCTAGCTAGTCTTGACAGGATGATACCTGCCGGGCCAGATGGAATTCATCCACTGATTGCAAAGTCCATTTCGGTTATCATCTCGTCGTTTGTGACTGAGCTGTTCAACAGGTTATTATCCACCGGTTCATAACAGAGCGATTGGAAATGATCAGCCGTAAAGCTAATACTGAAAGGTGGTGACCAAACCAAAGCGGATAACTACCGGTAGATCTGCCTGACCGATGTTTTGGCAGAGGTTCGAGAAAATCGTGAAGAAGGGTCTTCTGGAGCTTCTGGAGTCGAAAAACCCTCTTGACGCCCACACAGCATGGTTTCGTTAAAGGTCACTCATGCATCACCAACCAGTGGTTGACGAGGCACGAACGGTTGCGAGGATCGAACCAAGGGAAGTCAGTCGATGTCATCTACATCGAATTCCATAAGGTTTTTGACAAGGTGAATCATGAGGCGCTTCTGCACAGGCTGAGGGTGTGCAGTGTTGGTGGCTCGCTGCACCGATGGATCGGAAATTTCCTTGTTGGTGGAAAATAGATGCTACAGGTGGACAACCACCTGACCGACTGGTATCCTTCGAGTAGTGGTGTGCCCAATTTCTTCCTAATCCACAAAACCGATGTGCCTCAGCTTCTCCGTTCGTCTTGTGCGCTGTTTGCAGATGATTTGAAGGTGTGGAGAGTAATCCGCACACCCAGTGACTGTGACCTGCTTCAGCGGAACCTCGGCTGGCTCTCCATGTGGTCTGCAGAGGTCAACCTACCGATCAACCCGGTCAAATCGCAATTCATGAGGCCGGGTAAGTGTGAGCACAGTCCAGCCTACAGTGGCCGGTCAACCGTTGCATCCAGCGCTTTTAGTGCGAGACATCGCTGTACTCTCACGTTGCGACCTGAAGTCCATAGACAACACGAAAAGGATTTACCAAAACGCGGCTTTCAGCACTTGGTCCGAAGAGATTGCCACTCGCCTCTTCGTCGCAGTAATACCACCAATGCTAGAGTACAGCTCACTAGCGTACACTTCTATCACTCAGGGTTAGAAAGGATTGAACAGGAACAGCATATGGCCACTAGAATGATCCCTAATCTAAGTGCTGTGCTGTATGAAGACCGGTGTAAGAGACTAGGGCTTTACACCCTATCTTATCATCGATTGCGGCTGGACCTTATGATGAAGCAACGGATACAACATCTCGGAGATTACCCCATGTTGAGGCCGCTTCTGCATTTGCGCACACCAAGCAGCAAACGAGGACACCAGTACAAGCCTGTACTACCGGATTTGAAGCGGGTCGTCCAACAAATCTCTTTCGAACGGAGGCATGAAACAACCTGCCGTAGCAAAGTCGGATTCGGGATTCAAGAAGTTCCTGGACAAGACTGTGGATATAAAATATATCGAGCGCAAACTAACATAACGGGTTTTGCATCTGAGTGATAGTAGGTGCTGCTTCCAAGCAGTAATCAACCAACAACAACATCATCATCATCATACGTGTACCCGTCAGCTAGAGGTGGAAAATCCCTTAGCCGTTGTGCCGCAATACATAATAAGAAAAAAGAAACATGTGACAGAGGCTCGCCAACTGAGCCACCAGTGACGGATGGGCATCGTTCCAGAGAGCTGCCAGTCGGCTATTGTGCCGCAAGGAGCTATGCCTAAGAAATGCGATAGTGGATGGAAGGGGAGGCTAAGCGGATTATTCTAAACAGTCGAATCTTGGTCTTCTATGGCATTTTTAATAATAATTACACTAGGCAAGAGAGTCAAGCTCATTTTCGGGTGTACTGGATTGCCAAAAGTCGCTGATTTCTTTGTTACTAAGCATTGCGGTGAATGTGATAACTTTCATTAAAGGTTTTATGTGATCCTTTTCAATGGCTCCACGATAATTTAACAAAAGCTCTCCTGTTCGTTTACCCAATCTAAATTTAGGGTTCCATTTTCTCGTAGACATTACATTACTGCATTTATCCCGTTTTCTTATGGACTCCAAGAAACTTATCAGCACCACGTATGAGCTCTTACTTGAGTGACGTGCATGCATGTTTTCTTTTTACGATTTCATTGCAATTCCATGCCTAAGTTATGCCTCACTACATCCGCAGCGCTAGTGTAAAGATGCGGAAAATGTTCCCAGTCGGGTGCATAAAGTTTAATATGACTGAACTTGAAACAACATAATGAACGATACCGATGTCCACCAGTCAGTGCAGGGGCAGGGACTCGAATCTGGAGCGCGGAGGCCGTAATCCAGATGTACGAAGCACTACACTCCTAGCTCCCACCTCTTACTGCAATTGGTTGACGGCTGTGCTAAATAGGGACAAACTGGTCTGCGCAAGGGCAGGAAGCACAAAAATGTAGAGATCCTGGAGCCAGAGACGTGATTTTGAATAGATTTATTGAAACAGCGCGTAAACGATTGATTAAACAGGTATAAAGTCTGGTGCCCAAGAGTTACCGTGCGTTCAGTGGAAGCGTATACTGTTCTGATGAAATAATAATAATATCGTCAAGTTGTTATTCTGATCTAGAGTTAATGAGTCTTCCCACACCGCACCGTTGCAAGCAAAGACATTCAAAGAAGATTAGAGTGAGAGTGATAGATACCCTGACAGGCACAGCAAATTTATAACCTCTGCACAGACCATCATCGACTGAGTTCGTTAAGACTAAGGTGACAGCAGTACGTCGGCACAGCGTGCCAACATTTCACTACCAAGTGACCACCACCGGTCACGTGTAAGCTGGGAACACTGCGAGGTTGCTTGCACCTAAGCAGATTCGAACCGGTGACCTCTGGATTGCAAGGCAGACGCCTTAACAATTCGGCAAGCGACCGACCAAATGTAGTGTTCAGCTACGAAAATTCCTCGATAAAAGTGGTGCGCTTTGTTTGGTTTGGGGCAAACAAGTAATGTTACTGAGGTGATAAATGTGTTGCAGTGAGGTGACACATCAGGAAATCGTACGTGACAGACATCTAAAGTGAAGAAACTATCCGGGATAAAAGAGTCATGTGTAACAACAAACAAACCAAAAAATACCTGTTTGAAACACTTTTGTTCCGCAGGGCGACCACTGGTTTTCAAAAGATATTCCTCCCAATCGAAACTAGTCGACGAATCAGAGGATGTACGAACACTCATCTTGTTCTGTTGACGAAATGAAATTAAAACGGACTATTTGCACTGAGCAATCCCTGAGTGCCACGCGAACGCCGCACGGCAGCGAACACCCAACCTGAAGAGGAAAAAGGAAGACTGACGAAAAGTTGTGAAGGGTTAATTGGTGGACTTCCTCGTTAGATCAACTGCACAGAACATTCAGGTGAAATCGAAATGACAATGAGCTGGAAGTGGATGTGGCATGAAAACACCAAACAACATGGAACCGTAGTTTCCACATGCTAAGAATATAAACTGGGGAAAAGAAATGAGTCCCGTAGGTTAGATAGAGCCACCTTCGGAAAACCTCGAGAGAATTTCAGTAAGAAGCCAAATCAAGCAGAATAAACACGCCAATATGGACTGTCTTAGTCGAGGTAGCTGTATTTGCAGGATGGGGAGGAGGTATTGGATATCTTACCTACTCAAGTAATGATGCTCTAAATGGCGAACAGAAGTACTGATATTGCATTAGCGCAAGGGCTACTTGGTAGGTGAAGCGATGAATTGCTATCCTGGCCTCATCAATTGAAACGGAAGCTCTGATAGGTAGCAGACTTGTAAAGAAACAGTCACGGGACGATATGGTCCTCTTGCAGTCAGATTCAGCTTGACAGTTTGCATGTCCACTGCTGTGCATCCAATGTTTGAGGCTGATAGTCCGGCACGAATGTCCGCTTATAAATACGCAGGCACTTGATGTAAACTGTTCCAGTAAGCTGCGATGTGATGCATTAAAAGCATACACTCTCTAGATTGGGAAATTAGTTTGTTGGCACTTGTGCGTGAGATATGAACCTATCAGAATAAGTCAAGTAGAACAGGTATAATGAGACCTCTAACAAACCCTAACCGAAAAGAGAGACGAAATGTAAACAAGTCGTCATTAGTCAGCAAGTTCGTTAATGGTGAGAAACACCACAACTTCGGATTTCACCAGTTCTCCGAACTTTGCAATTGGTTTGTGAAAGTTCCATCACCAGACGAGGTGACTTACTCAGTGCGCTATTGCGGTCCACTGATTTGATCGTCGATTTGTGATCGAATAGCATGTGATCATTGCATTGACCTCCTCGATCTGTGCTCTGTGACCCTCACTCGTTTGGCCAAGGTCTCTGATGGACATGGGCGATCCATGAGAGGATTTCTCCCTGGTTGTTGCGGCTGATGTTGATGGCTCGTTTGGTTGTCTACGACGATTTTCAAGCGGTCTTCATTCTCTCCATCTTAGCGTTTGATAGATTAGATAAATGTTGATGCACATGTTTAGCGAGTGTTTTGTCGAGGAACTCTCTTTTCGTGTCTCACCTTGCGCTAGGACTTCTGTTTTATTCCGATAGAAGCGGTGTCTTTCGTTCGTATGAGATGAAATCGGGGAGACAATAGTGGCTCTTACAAGCGGAATGATCAACCCGAGCTACCAGTATTTCAAGTCATTGTAAACACCATAACTATTGCGCCGCAGTGCAACTTAATAAAAGTGGCACCAGAGAAAAAAGAAAACAAAAATAAATTAAAACCAAATACTAAGCTTTGTTTTCGTTATACATCAGTAATAAGATGGTTGCTTGGCGGGAAGACTGAACGGGAGGAAAAGGAGAGACGAAACGCTCGCAACACAAATGAGGTCAAGAGCACCTGGCCACATCATCAAGCGCCTCCAACTGAATGTTTTCGTTATCTTTCGAATCCCGAATCGGGAACCAAGAGGCAACAACTAAGACAAAGTACGAGATGAAAGCTTACAAGCCTCTTGATCAAGTCAGCGATTGGCCTCCACACTTCTTCCATTAACAAGACTTCAATAACGTAAGCAACGCGTGTCGCGGAAGTCGTTGTACTGTGGTGGATTAAAGGTAGATACTACTGCACCGGGTATAAGTAGTGTGGTGGTGCAAGATGACACACCAACAGCGAGCCCTGCCGACTTCCCCAAAGTTGAAGATGACATCAGGATTACAGTTCCATGCGCACGAGGAGTGAACACAGAGACAAGCACCGGTTGGGGAACACTCCATGGAGACCACGCAGATGAGCAGACCAGGACAAACTATCAGAGTCTGGTGTGCGTGAACTGACGGTGCTGAGCGGCTCGCTTGCTCTTCCGGCGCCATAAACAAGGCGGCGAATGCTGTCATAGCTCACGCTGTGTTCCCACCGGGTATGAGCTAAACTGCGAAAGGACCGGCGATCGAACACAAGTAGCCTCATTTACGTCCGTCAATCTGATGGACCAGGTTTCGAAACCATACGGTGGCTTCAAAGATAAGTCGCACCGTCGTCATAAGGCGGGTCAACTGGACTCGTCTGGAGGACGGGTCGACGGTACTCAGTTTTGCATTCAGCGAATTCATATCCCGCTGCCAAGTTAACTTCTGCTCATCCCAAGCCACGTGTCACCAAACATTCAGCAAACAAAACAACGCCCTCATTAACCAGTGACGAGGTATATGTAGGGCGTGCCGAAGCCAACGCAATTTATTCAGTACAGTGTCGTTCTAAAAAACTAGTGTGATTATAAATGCCTAACACCCGTCTATGCACCACATCGCTGAGGAAACGCTGGTGTCATCCTACACCAGCAGTGGTTCGCAGGCAGCGATGATCATCGACTTAAAGGTCCTTTAGATCTTCGCATTCAGAACGACGGACGGCGCACACTGTGGCCTTTTAAACGGGGGGGGGGTTCAGACAGAGGGATATCCTTTTCTGGTACCACTGATGTCGCAGATTCAAGAACGTAGTTTTAGCTTTTGCAATATGTGAACTGACTTCAGTTGCTATGCGCCCATCGTTGCTGATGCAGCTGCCAAGGTGAGCGAATTAATCAACTACCAAGAGTTCATCGCTAATCAAGGTTTACATGTAATCTAGTAGCTGGTGGTTCTGCAAAAACACTTCGCACATTGAAGGCACAAAAAAGCATCAGCAAGAGACCGGTACGCAGTACCGACGCTTCGCTGCTACACAAGCACCAACAGTCGCTCGTGGACTAAGGATACTGCGAGGATACTACGTAGGCTTAAACCCGCGCCCTCAGATTACAAGACAGGCTAGTGATCCTTAAAGCTACGGTGAAAGTGCATGCCAAATGATGTGACCACTTTAAAAAGGTTGTTCAAAGTTAATTGAGACGCCTTA